GCAACCTCGCAGCCCTCCGTGGGCAGGATGGCAGTTGGCCAGGAAGGATGCAGGTGTCAGCTGCCGGCAGCCAGTGTCCACAGAAGCCGGGCACAGGCAGGGCCAGGGGCGGGGCCAGGAGCCTCTGAAAGTCTCCCTTGGGCGGGGGGCACGCGTCCCCCCAGCTGAGGTCCTGCTCTCAAACCTGCGTCTGGACTCTCCACTCCACCCAGCCCGGGATGCTTCACGCCCGGGCCTGCTCCTCTGCCTGTCCCCGGGGCCAGTGGGATTGGAGGGCAGGGCGCCGGCTGGGGTTTGGCGCCGGGAGGCCCTGAGCCCCCCATGAGCCCGTGTCCTTCCCGCCCACCGCAGACTGCCTCTTCAAGGTGTGCCCCATGAACCGCTACTCGGCCCAGAAGCAGTACTGGAAGGCCAAGCAGACCAAGCAGGACAAGGAGAAGATCTCCGACGTGGTGCTGCTGCAGAAGCTGCAGGTGTGTGCGCAGGTGTGCGCTGTGTGCGTGTGTGCACCGTGTGCGCGCAGGTGTGCGCCGTGTGTGTGCAGGTGTGTGCGTCAGCACGCAGGGCCACTGCTCTCCAGAGCCGACAGGCCCCAGTGCGCAGGTGTGAGCCTTGTGTGCGCAGGTGTGCGCCGTGTGTGCGTCAGCACGCAGGGCTACTGCTCTCCAGAGCCGACGGGTCCCGTGGGGAGTCCAGTGGTTTTAAAACCCCATATGCAGAGGTTGGCGTTCGCTGCTGTGGAGGTGAGGTGCGGGGAGAAGTGTCCTCCAGCAGCCCGCTCGGCTGCATGACCCCTTGGTGCCCCTTGGAAGAAGGTGCACGGCCCTATGCCAGGACACATGGCTCAGTGAGCGGAGGGTGGGCTGGGGTTCAGCTCCCACCAGCCCTTCAGCTGGACCCCACGGTGCCGTGAACAACCCGCCCAGCTGCCCACGGGGTTCCCACTGGCTCCGGGAACCGCATTTGAGAACTAGTCGTAACTTCTCCCTTGTTTTGTAGAGTTGGGGCCTGGGCCCTGAGAGGGGGCCGGGCTGTCTGTGGTCACTCTGTGGTTTGCCGTGGGGCCTGGACACGGACGGTGCACGGTGCGAGGCCTGGTGGTGGCTCGTGGCCTCTCGGGGGCAGTGGCCAGTTCACATCCTGGGCTGTCCCCTGTGGACAGCTCGGGGCCGGGGCCTGGCCGGCCGTGCAGGGGAGAGCTGGGGGCTTGTCTGGGCCAGGCCTGTCTGCAGCCCGCTTCCAGCCCGCCCTTGGCCCTGGTGCCCCACCCCACGCAGGCCTTGCCTCTCTGAGTCCCTTGCTCTGAGGGGGGTGTGTGGGGTGGGGGAAGGGTGGCCCCACCCCAGCTGTGAACTGGGCTGGGGAGGGGCTGAGCTCTGTTATAAATACCCCATCGCTCTTGCTCAGCTGGGGGCGCTCACAGGCTTCCTCCCTGTCGGACCCAGGCCAGGGCTGACGGGGATCTGGCCTGGGCGTGGGCCCTCACATGTGCACTGACACACACTCAGAGCCACATGTGTCGCACAGCCACGCTGTAGGCCTGTGAGGCATGTGCACACAGTAAGGCTCCCCAGCAGCCACCCTCCCCCCAGCCTCAGTCAGGGGACCTGGGTAATGGGACTAAAGAGTGGAAGGGGCAGAGGGGCCAGGCTTTCAGGGAGTGCCAGTCTGATGGAGGGGGAGGAGCCTGCCCTCAGGCAGCTTCCAGTTCAATGCGACAGGAGTGTCCCAGAGGCTGTCCTCCACGGGATGCAAACCAATCCCCCAGGACCAGGTGGACCCATCAGCAGTGGATGTGGCAGTCAGGGAAGGCTCCCTGGAGGCGGTGGGCCGGGAGCACACACAGTTTTGGGAGGAAGGGCCACAGAGGGGTGGGGAGGAGGAGGAGGCAGGGGCACCAAGCACACCGGCCAGCGTTTGGGCTGGGGCAGGGGCCCGGTTGGGGCATGGGAGTCTGGTGAGATGGGGTAGTGAGGCTCAGCTTAGGTGTCTGCCAGGGTGTGTGGGCATCGGGGGCTCACAGGCTGGCTGGCATGCCCCCTCCG